TCTAGACCTCAACCAAAAATGAGGTCAACAATTGTGACTAATTTTTCCTTTAAAGTTTTAAAAGCATTCAAGCATTCTTAATCATGGAGTCATTTTGAAGTACTCTTATCTTGTATGGCCTTCATAAACTCCATCATTAAAACTCTCAACTGAGTGGGTTTTGGTGCTCCTTTATCGCCCGATGAATGATATTTTGACCGACTCTAGCCGCTTCAGTAGTTTTTGTCGGACTCTCAATCATCATGAGGTAGTTGACTATCTTCATGTTTAGGGTGTGGGCTATTTTTCGGCCTCCAACCATCATCTCATGAGGCCCTCTTTTGTGAACAGTAGTAAGATTGTTTAGCCTTTTGGTAAGGCGGGTGAACATACTCTTCCAATGCGATGTGGTGGTTAGCTAAGTCCAAGAGCTCAACTAGCTCGTTGGGCTGTGACAAACCTAGAAAATACTTGAATCATTCGCTCCTCCACCCTTGGGCCAAGTTTGCCTCTACTACTGTGGTTTTCAGACTCTGCACTTCTAACATTTATTTTAGAATTGAGAGATGTATGAATAAAGGTTCATGTTTAGCTCTTGCTTGATGTGTCATAATGTCTTTGAGTTCTTAGGTGGCTATTGGGTGTTAACAAACTGCGTCGTGAAATTTTTCTTGAATTCACCAAAGGAGGTGATAACTCTTGCCAGCGTGATCATTAAATAACACGAGGGTCGAAACCTCAACATGGTGTAGAATGACTGATACTTTAGTGCATCATAGATATTGAGAAGGCAGACGAACAACTCAAAGAAAGCTATGTGGTTGACTGGATCACTTCGATCCTTGTAGGATTCTAAAGATGGGATTTTAAACTTCTCTGGTGGCTCTATATCAGAGATCTGTTGGGAGAATGCATTCTCCAGCCGTTGGTAGACCTCCATTTGCCCAAATTGTGGTTTGATTAACAGTTTATACCCAACAATATGCTGATACAACGAGTCTCTATTATTTTCGTCCCTTGAGCCGCTCGACAGCCTTGAGTTCTTCTTGAGGGCTCTGTTCCTTAGGAGCTTGGGCTCTTCTCTTGACTAGCGTGCGGTGTGGGTCAATTATGTTATCAGACCCACCATATGATCTCATAGTTTCTAAAATTCTCTTACATACCTCATGTTTAATATTTCTCCCAAGTGAGTTCCTTCTCCGTGGCATGCTCCTCTTTTTGTTGATGGCTTGATTCCACGCTCATGGCACTTTTTTAGGATGTTTAATCCAATATATCTTGTAGATCATACCAAAGGTATAAAACGTTGGATGGAAGAGATGAATAGAGAGAAGCTGGGAAATTGAGAGTACCAACACAAGTCTTGAGGGAGTAAATTTTGTATTTCTTTTTTGGTGAAATGACCAAATATTTATAGGTTCTTCGTATATCTCACAAAATTACATGTTTGTCCTTATTTTATAGGGACATTACAAGCCATTATTATACTTTTTTTATATTTGTAACTAACTTCGACTCCCTTTAATATTCATAACTGACATCGAAATCATTTCATATTCATAACAGTTTGAAGAGGGGTAATTAATGGTCTGTTAGTCTCGAGTAGAGGCCCTCCTGTAGTTAGGGTTAACTTGGGTCGTCTAACAAAGGGTGTGTCATGGTAATCTGACGGACGGCTCTACTTGGACAAGGGGCTTTCTTAGAGGGTCTGGAAGGTGTTTTGCGGAGTGCCATTTTGGCCATCTTTGTGAAGAATTCTGGAATTAGTAGTGGAAGCTAGTCTCAAACGACTTTCTCTTGGATTAACCAAGGGAAATGACACTTGGTGTTTCCATCTTTTGATTGTCCACATACACTATCCTTTGGTGTTTGTAAGAGGGATCCGTTGGATTTCTTAGAGATTTATGCGGTCATATTTTTTATTCGCAAATATGTAATAATGTAAATATCATACTTTCAGTGAGAGATAGTAAATGCATAAGAATTTAAGGAATGTATGTAAATTTTTTAATAAAAAAACTAAATATATAAATGCATATTCTGCATTTAATATAATTAATCAATTGTTTATATTAAATACATTTTATGTATTAATCATCATACTAAAAATAGTTTCTTAAACTAATTAATATTAAATCACGCCACTTTGGTGCAATTTTAATTATAAATCGCATCTACATAACACCATTTTTATGTTCTTCAATTTTTTTTAAACATGCTATTACTAGGGGTGCAAACGAATCGAACAAAAATAATCAGAGCTCATGTTTGTCTTCGGTTCGTTTGAAATTACGTGTGTTTGAAATAGACTTGTGTTTGAAATTGTTCGTGAAGTTACTGTTCGTATTCGGTTTGATTTGTTTGAAATATATTTGAAATGTTTGAATTGTTCGAATTGTTCAAGATTTTACAAATTTGTTTGTATTGTTCAAATTGTTTGAAATCTTTCAAAAGCTTAAACCTATATGAAATTAATGTTTAAACATTTATGAATTACAACACAAATGCAAAATATCTAAAACACAACTCACAGTAAAATCATAATGTCATATCTCATCCATAAAAAATTTAGACCTAGAGGCAATATGCGAGATTTCACTCCCAAAAACTATGTTTCACTCGAAGAAACTAAATAAATCTAAAACACATAAGAAAATTTAAGCTAAGAGATGAACCTGAAGATCAAAACAAAATTATAGAATTTAGTATAAGCTAAAAGGAGAACCTGAAAATCAAAAATTTATAGGAATTATTTTTTTAAAAGATGATAATTTTTTAGAGTATATAATTATTTTTAAAAATGATAAATTTTTTATATAAAATTATTTTAATTAATTTTATATTTCAAACAATAATGATTCGAACACGACCGAACAAATGATTATTCGTGTATGGTTTGTTTATAAACAGAACAAAAAAAAAATTTGTTCATGTTCATCTCGTTTGCTTATCAAACGAATCGAACACGAATTCATCGACGAGCCGAACACGAACTTTTCGCGAATCACGAGCTTTTTTAACAGCCCTAACTATTACTCCTAAATTAAATATTAAATCTTTTGCATTTATTAATTTTGCCAATCTGCACACATATCAATCAAATTTTAAATAGCATATTAAGAAGTGAAATACACATTTTTTTATACAATACTAAAAAATGAAAATGTTATGCAAATTATTATGAAAATTTAAGTAAGTTGTGTAAATACATAAAAATCATGTGCTACTTATGTAAATTGTATTGCTGTAGTTTCAACGCGCTACCAAACACGCGTTAGGCGGCTTTTGGAAGCAGAATAATAAATTTATAGTCCGCCTACCTATTGACCGAACTCGAAGAGGACGGAGACCACTTGCCTGCTCACCTTCCTCTGTTTTTCGTGCTTAGCTTCTCCGCCTCTCGGTTCAGAACCTTCGCCATACAGTCGCCATTAGAGCTAGCTGGGAAGGAAACGACGAGATCGGGGCTTACAGAGATCGCAGAAACTCACATCTTTCTCATACTTCCGCTCCGCTCCTACTAGAAACCGTTGACGAAGGTAAGCCTGTTCGCGCCATTCTTCTTCTTCGCTTGTCGCGGATTTACTACATCCACCGATTCACGGGATTTAGTAAATCCCGGATTTATCACGAATCGGCATCATTTTGGGATTTGCGGGAGCTCAAGATTTAGGGAGGCCTTTCTTACCGTTTGGCAGGATTTAGTTTAAATCCTGCGTAATCTTCAAAAGATTCTGTAGGATCCTTTTTGCTTTTTGGTAGGATTTAGGTTAATGTCTGCTATCGAACAGCCCGTAATTTTTTATTGTTGTTATCTCTCGAAGAGCACGAAATTGAGAAATAGATACCAGGCATTCAATTCTAGATCCATAATGTAGCTTGCTTCCTCTTAATAGGCTTGCTGAATTGTCTTTTGATGACTTTCACATTGTTGTTACAGTTGGTTTCCCTTTTTCTTACTGATGTATGGATTTCATGTACCCTCTTGTCTTATTGGATCTGAATGAATGTATTTAATTGGTCCTACAGGTTAGAGTTATACCAAGACTACTTTACATCATGGAAGCTGCAAACTTGACACTTCAACAGTTGAAGTTTCCAGGCGTTCATCAGCAAAGATTTAGAACGCATTCATCACTGTAAGTTCTAATTTTGTATTACCAGCAATCCAGTTGTCAATTTTTTTTTTCTAATACATAACTTTCACATTACGTCTATGCCTTTGCCTTAAATTTATACCTCAAATTATTAGAGTTTCAAATTTTTTTATGTAAATCACTTGAATAATTCTTTTTCCTTCCTCTATTTTTTAGTTATTAGGTTTGTTGTGGGCAGAATTAGAATTGCTTCTTATTTCTTTTCAGGTCCTGGAGACGAGAAGATGCATCCTTTTGCAATGTGACACATATATTGTATTATCCAGATAAAAATTCACGGAGTGTTAATAAATCATCTGATTTTTCTTGTCTTTCATGTCATGCTTCAATTAATAAAAATGAGTTTGTGCTAAAGCCTAACAAAAAAGGGTCAATTTTGACGGGAAAATGTATAGAGAATGCATATGGTTCGATAGAAGCAAGCTCCTTTTGTGAAAATAGTCATAGTATTTCTGCAAATAATGTACAAGAAAAGGTTGGAGTGTTGCTGCTGAATCTTGGGGGCCCAGAGACTCTTGATGATGTTCAACCATTTCTGTTCAATCTGTTTGCTGATCCTGTATGTATGATGCTAACCTTTTATTTTGCTTTGTGTTGATGTATAATTTTTAGATTGGAATTTAATTGGAACATTGATTAATAGTTACTGCTAATTTTACTCCTCTTTTATTCACATTTGATTTTCATTCTCTTTGCTATTGCAAAGCTTTAGAAGAATGTTCTAGGATAGAGATACCCCCAACTTGATGAGCATATTTGTTTTCTTTTTCATTTTCTTTTTAATTAGACTACTAACATTCAAGATCAAGGCTAGACTTGGATTACCTCTATTTCATAAGGGGACAATTGGTTGTCATAATAGAACAGACAATATCTTTTCTTTACGACACCCTTTGATGTTATGACAAAGACTAACATTTTAAATTTTACAATGCTTGATATCACCAAGAACCCAAAAAAGGGAAAAAAAATACTACCGGACTTACAGAGATATTCTAACAGAGAATACAAAGGATTTTGACATAATTAACTGAAACAAAAACCTCATAGAAGAATAACGAACTCACCTTTAGTAGAAATTCCTTGTTGTTGATTCTTGATTCATCTCAAAGGCTTGGTCCTTGCAATCATGCAGTAGCTGCACTTATTCTTGTGGTTGCGTACCCTTCTTTGATTTCCTATCCTACTATCCAAAGATACTTGATTGGGAACTTTGTTCTCCTTTCGCAGTTTCTTTGTTGGAATTTTGGTTTCATTGGAATTTCAAACAGTCAAGGAAACCGTACAAGAGGAAAATAAACTAGCAGATTAACTGTTCAAAAAACAAAGCAAATTATAGTAATAGGAAAGGACAACAAAGAACTTGGTACAATTTGTACCTAGGATCCAAAAAATCTAGCCGAGAAAAGGTTTGAAGAACAAAAGAAAAAAAAGAAATTTTTCTTCAACTCTTTCTTGGCTTGACTGTCTAGCTGCCCACCCTTCTGATAAAAGAAACAAAACAATAATTTAAATATTTACATGAAAGCAAAATGATAATAAAGATGCTGGAAAATACAGAATCTGATAGATGGAGGTATGGGCTCAATATATTGATGAGTCTATTCTAAATTCAAGAAATCTGAGAGTAGAGCCTGCTGTTATATCGATTGAGAACTCCAAAGAGATGCGACTGCTATCAAATTAGGCAATAGTTGCATCCTGGACACTTTCTTGACAATGAATTTTCTAGCTCAATTATTGTTTTCACCCCTTTATGCAACTGTCAAGAAACTGGAAGTGTTCCATCTGCCTGATCCCTCAATATCTCTGTTGGACAGCCACTATGTGACCTTCCCGTTCCCCAAACTAGGTAAATTTTTTTCAAAACTCATGATAATTTGAAACAAAACTCAAAAAACAAAAAATACTGTATGAGAATGGGATATACATATGGTAGCCTCCGTTAGTAGCACTTATACATTCATAATTACAAAACTACCCTTACAAATAAATGAAAAGGAAACCAAATTCAATAAGCAAGTGAATTATAAAAAGGTTTCCTTCAAAGATTATGTTACATTTTGCTTCTTGTCAAGCTTGAGTGGACAGTAAGTTAAGTCATTATATGTGTTTGGGATGTGATGAAATACAATTATTAACCATTAGATACGTGCCAAAAATTTTAAAGCATATTTTAAATATGTTTCTTATATGTAATAGTGATATTTTATTTCCTTGCATAGTAGTCTTAGTATATTTTAGGGAAGCAGTCCAAGTCTCAAGTTTTTTAATAGATCTTTAGTCTTCATTTGAAGATTATTGATGATGGATAGAGATTTTAATAAAATTTTTGTAGCATCTCTTGTAGGGACCCCACGTAGTGGGATTAAGGCTTTGTTGTTGTTGTTGTTATATCTCTTGTAGGGATTCCTTCTCTTTTAAGGTTTATATTTCTCTCTTTGTTTATACCCATAGCCTTTTCCTTATTCTTCTAGTTAAATTACTTTTCTCTCTACTTTCTTGATTCTTTTCATGCACTGGTTTCATTTCTCTTGACATTTTTCTTTGTTATCTATTTGGTAGAAGGATGTAAGCATGATCCCTTAGCTTGTAACTTCAAATCAATGTACTGGAAAGGTCCCCTCATGTGACTCCTCTGCTCATACCTTACTTGCTCTTGACCTTACTCACATGAGACCCTTTTCCTTTTTAGCTTTGTTGTGTTTACTTCTTGATTTCTCCCTTTTTGGGCCTCACATAATCTTGTGCCTGCTCTCTTCTCTCATTATCTCACATACTCGGTGCTTATTGATTCCCCTCCCATTATGCCATATCATATGTGCTCACTGTGTTGCCTCTCATCACCCACCCTTACCAATCATCCTCAAATATTATTATTTTTTATGATTTTCGTACCCATCATGCGTCCCTTCATGGATAAATTTCCTGTTCTATAGTCTCTTCTTTTGAAAAAACTTCATCCCATTTGACTCTTTTTAGGATGGATTTCACAAGCGTAGTTGTACAATTGAAGGTTGTGAACTCTCTCTTTAGTATTATTTCAACTTTTTATAGTAGCGTTCGTTGCAGATTATTACAACTCTCAACTCTTATCTTTGTTATCAAAATGTGCAAAGTGATTGTAGATTTTGTTAGTAATTTATTTATTTTTTAACTTAGTTGAAAGTAGCATTTTTTTGCTCTCTCAAGGGCTCGATAATGGAAATTGTTGCAAGCATGTAATTGGGGAACCCAAAAAGGATATGCCGTGATGATGTCTCTCTTTCTATTATGTAGTAATGACAAAGTTCCATAAAGCGCATCAGTTTACTTGCTTGATTTTTCCAGTGGAAGTATTTTAATCATAAGTTTCCATTACTTGATATCCTTTTGAAGCAACCATCTGCATTAAAAATAATGAATATTTCTTTTTTCTATAGTGCATCACAAAAAAAAGGTTGTTTTAGACATCAAATTGAATTCATTTAGTCTTGTTAACATTGAGTAACATTTCAATTAATTGGTGGTTGTGCTATCAGCGTATTGTAATGACTAATTTCCATAAATTGAGTATCAATTGCTTGATTTTTTTTCCTGGGAAGTATTTTACTTATAACAAGGTTACTATCTATATCAACAATGATGAAGAAGATTATATTTTCAAATGTTCCTGGCAGAAAAAGTGATATTTTGTTCATTAAATTGAATTTATTTATGGGCTATTTGATTTGCTGAAATAAAAATGTAGTTTAGAAGTAATGTATTGTATTTGGAACATTTTGAAGTTCTTGGTTCAGTGTAAAGGTAATGCATGATTTTTTTTTTTTTT